TTGGGAGTGGGAGATAGAATGAGAGGGTGGATTGAGAGTTGTACAGAGGGCCTACCGCTACCATAATGGTAAATGGAGGAAGGATCAGAGTACTTTAAGATGTCAAATGGTACAAGACAGGGATGCCCATTGTCCCCACTGCTATACGTGTTTTCACTGGAGCCCTTACTGTCCATGATTAGAAAGAACATAGACATAAAAGGAATAAAGATAGGTGATAGAGAACACAAGGTAGTGGCCTATGCGGACGACCTGATGTTTTATGTTGGAAACCCTAGAACATCACTTCCAAATTTTAATGAAAGCATTGAGGGAGTACGGAGACCTGTCGAATCTGAAAATTAACCCGACAAAGACCGAAATCTTAAACATAAATCTCAAAAACAGTGAAAAAGAAAGACTACAAGAGGAATTCCCTTTCCTTTGGAGAGACAAAGAATTAAAATATCTAGGAATAAAACTATCAACTTCAAATAAAAACCTTTATAAAGCCAATTATATAATGTTATTAAATGAAATTAAGGAGGAGTTGAGGAGAGTGGGAAATGGAAATCCATCGTGGATAGGTCGTATAAACTTGATAAAGATGGTAATTGTCCCCAAAGTATTATATAAATTTCAAATGATCCCAATCAAACTCCCAGAGGCATATTTTAAAGAACTGAGGAAAATGATAATAAAATGTATATGGAGGAATAAAAAGCCTAGAATAGGGTATGAAACGTTGACTAGAAGTAAAGAAAGAGGAGGACTGGGGGTACCAGATTTTAGGAGATATTACAAAGAGGGATTATCGCAAGAATTTTCGACCGGATTCATAATCTGGAGAAAAGTTGGGTCAAAATTGAGAAAACACTGAGTGGAATAAGTTTGAGTAATAGTATCTGGGTGCCTGCACAATACAGAGAATTAGAGGAGAGCACAAGCACGTACACTCTTATTGTTTTAAAAGAATGGGATTTATTACATAGACAAAAGGGGTGGGTTTTTAATTCACAACTAATACCACTTAGGAACACAAAATATTTCACCCAGGGTAAAGATAGCATAGCAGGGAAATGGATTATAAAACAGGAGGCGCAATTGAGAGATATAATGGTAGGAGAGGAAATTGGGTCATATAAGGAAATGGAGGAAAGAAAGGGTGAAGTCTTTAATAAGATGGATAGATTAAGATATTACCAACTGAAGAACTTTTAAGGACTAGAAAAGATTGGAATCCATTCGAGAGAATTTTTGAGTTACGGGGAAATGGTAGACACGGAACGGCAAAAATACACAAGATATTAATGGAATTTGACACAGACACAAAATTAATGCACATAGAGAAGTGGGAAAGAGATATGGAAAGAAAAATAGAGGAGGAGGAGGAGAAGAAGAAGATGTTCACATTAATTCACGAAAATATTAGTATGAGAGAAGTGGAAATAAATTATAAGTGTTTGAATAGATGGCACATTACCCCTTACCTGGAGCACAAGATGAATACGGAAATTTCACAGATGTGTTGGAGAGATTGTGGAGAGGTGGGCACGTGGTATCATATGTGGTGGGAGTGTTCAGAAATACAGGTGTTCTGGCGAAGGATAGTTTACTTGATAGGGAAGATTACTAAAATCAATATAGGATTAGACCCAGAATTATGCCTCCTCCATATCTCAGAACTCCCAGTGAAAGTATATAAAAGGTCAGGGATATAGTATTACTTAACCGCAGCAAAGAGCTTGATACCCAGGTACTGGAAGAAAAGAGAGGAGCCAACTGAAGAAGACTGGATGGGTAGAGTAAACCAGATTTCTGGGACAGAAAGATTGTATTATACGCACGAGGATAAGCTGGAGATGTACAATAAAATATGGAAAGGATGGGGAGAATATAAAGAAATGGCGAAAAAGGTGAAGAGATAAGGTCCCGGGTAGTCGGTTTAGAATTGGATTTAGGAATAACAGAATAATATGGAGTAAATGAGAGAAGAGAGAATATAGAGCGTGGGAAGGTGAGGGAGGGAAGGGAGGGGACGGGGAGAAGGAGGGGCGGGTGTTTGGGTGGGGGGGATGGTATGAAAAGAAAGTCATATATAGGAATAAATTTTATAAGGAGAAAATATGTTTTTGATAAATATTTTAATATATGTTGAAATGACTTGTATATGGATTGAAAACTAATAAATATTTATAAAAAAAAAAAAAAAAAAAAAAAAGAGAAGATCAGGGTTCATTAGAGTTTCTCTGTACCAAACTCGTCAATGCACACCTTTATGGAACTGGCTTTGAAGATAGGTACAGTTCAGTTTTGGGCACCAATTCACAAAGTGAACATTGGGGAACTGAAGAAAGTACAGAGAAGGGCAACCAAACTGATACGAGGCATGGAGGAGACCAGCTATGAGGAAAGACTAGAGGAACTGAATTTATTCTCTCTTGAGAAGAGGAGATTAATGGGGGTTATGATCTCCATGTATAATACATAAGGGGGGATATGATCTCCATGTATAATACATAAGGGGAGATATGATCACCATGTATAATACATATGGGGGGATATGATCACCATGTATAATACATAAGGGGGGGATATGATGATCTCCATCAGTAAGGGGGAATATGATCACCATGTATAATACATAAGGGGGGATATGATCTCCATGTATAATACATAAGGGGGATATGATCACCATGTATAATATACATAAGGGGGATATGATCACCATGTATAATACATAAGGGGGGATATGATCCATGTATAATACATAAGGGGGGATATGATCTCCATGTATAATACATAAGGGGGGATAATATCAACATGTATAAATACATAAGGGGAGGATATGATCAACATGTATAATACATAAGGGGGGATATGATCAACATGTATAATACATAAGGGGGGGATATGATCACCATGTATAATACATAAGGGGGGATATGATCTCCATGTATAATACATAAGGGGGATATGATCACCATGTATAATACATAAGAGGGGGATATGATCTCCATGTATAAATATACATCAGTGGTTAAAGGGGGGATATATAAATACATCGGTGGTTCATTGAACTCGGTGTAGAGCTATTCACCCTGAGGTCATCACAGAGGACAAGGGGGCACTCTTTACATCTGGAGGAAAATAAATTTAATCTCCAAACACACGAAAGGTTTCTTCACAGTGAGAGCTGTGAAAATGTGGAATAGACTCCCTCAAGAGTTGGTTCTGGCCAGCTCTATCTGGAGAAAGCCTTAAAGGAGAGAGGATTAACCCCTGTGGGGTGTATGGCTCATGTGATTTCCAGTAATTTAGAAGGTGGAACAGGTGGGAGCACACCCAAAAGGCACAATTGCGGAAAGTGTTTTTACTGTGTTGGTAGTTGTTGTGGGAAGATTGCACTGGAGATGAAAAGAAGAAACATTGGACTGATTGATACGTTATAAGTGACTTTTGAACCACATTCAATTTGCTCCATTAGTGATCTACTACATGTGTGCTCGAACATTATTTATGTATATGTGTGGTTACTACTACTAATATTATATGGCTTGTGCACACTTTTATCACTTGAAGTTATGTAATGGGTTTTATTAATTTGTTTGGATGCGGGGATGATGTATTTAGGAGTGCTGCACTTTATTAACCACTTCCTGACCGGCCTAATGTAAAATGATGGCCCGGTGGGACTTTTGTTGTTCCGGGTGGATGTCATATGACGCCCTCCCAGAACACACCTCGCCCACAGCTGTGTGTGGGCACGATCTGTCACTGTACGGGGCTGTTGCCGGTACTATGTGATCGCTGTGACCACTTTACAAAATGAAGGCAGACAGAGTTACATTACAATTTGGTACAAGGGGCATCAGAGGGCCTTCATTGTGTACAATTGTGTTGCTAGCTGTGACTGGTTACATTGATCACATGGTACAGACAAGGCCAATCACAGCCCATCTGTACCATGTGGTTAGCTGTGGCCAATCACAGCTAACCACAATAATACAAACTGAATTAATCAATTTCCTTCAGTAAAAATGGTTGCTTACATCAGTGAAATTCACTGATAAAAGCCATCATGACGTGTAGAAAAAAAATCCTGACCACTTCCTCAGAGTTGCTTAATTTTTTTCAAAATTTGACAAAAAATGATGACAAAAAACTCGCCATGCCTCTTACTAAATATCTTTGGGCAGTCTTCTTTCCAAAAAGGGATCATTTGGGGGTTATACAGTATGCACTGTCCTGGCATTTTAGGGCCTCCAGAAATGAGACTGAAATGAGGCAGTTTTACATCAGGATTGATCGATAACAATTGGTTTCTACAGACTAAATAATAAACACAGATTTTGGTCATTTTCACCAAAGAAATGTGGCAGAATACATTTTGGCCTAAATGTACGAAGACAGTGGTGCTTAAGGTGGACCTTCACTCTTAATCAACATGGACTATTTTTAATCCTTATGCTGCCAACATTAGTAAATAGGTGGGAAAGTACCGTATTTTTCGCTCCATAAGATGCACTTTTTTCCCCCCAAAAAAGGGGGGAAAATGTCAGTGCGTCTTATGGAGTGAATGTAAAGCGGCCGGTCCAGTATTTCTGCCGCCACCATGTCAGAATATCAGGCCGGCCGCTCAGCTCTTCTCTCCTGCAGGACCTTACCTGTTCTTCGCTTCAGCGCTGCAGTCTTCCCGCGGCGGCTTCTGTGACAGCCGGGTGCCCACTGCGCATGCGCGAGAAGCGCCGCGCTTTGTGAATGGTCCAGTGTCTTCTGGGACACATGACAGGTCCCAGAAGGCTCCGGGCCATTCACAAAGTGCAGCGCTTCTCGCGCATGCGCACCTGGCTGTCACAGAAGCCGCCACGGGAAGAAGAGGGAAGGACAACTCCGCGGAAGTGGGAGCGGGTACCTGTCAAATTTAGGTACCCATTCCCCCTTCCTCACCAAAGGTCCGCAGTCTCTGGTAATCTCCTTTACTGTCTGCAGTCTCCGGTCTTCTATACTATGTCCACAGTCTCTGGTCATTCCCTGTACTGTGTCCGCAGTCTCTTGTCATTCCCTGTACTGTGTCCCCGCAGTCTCTGGTCATCTCCTGTACCGTGTCCCACATCTCCTGTACCGTGTCCGCAGTCTCTGGTCATCTCCTGTACCGTGTCCGCAGTCTCTGGTCATCCCCTGTACTGTACCGTCTGTCCGCAGTCTCTGGTCATCTCCTGTACCGTGTCCGCAGTCTCTGGTCATCTCCTGTACCGTGTCCGCAGCAGTCTCTGGTCATCTCCTGTACTGTCCGCAGTCTCTGGTCATTCCCTGTACTGTGTCTGCAGTCTCTGGTCATTCCCTGTACTATGTCTGCAGTCTCTGGTCATCTCCTGTACTATGTCCGCAGTCTCTGGTCATTCCCTGTACTATGTCTGCAGTCTCTGGTCATCTCCTGTACTGTGTCTGCAGTCTCTGGTCATCCCCTGTACTATGTCCGCAGTCTCTGGTCATCCCCTGTACTATGTCCGCAGTCTCTGGTCATCTCCTGTACTATGTCTGCAGTCTCTGGTCATCCCCTGTACTATGTCTGCAGTCTCTGGTCATCCCCTGTACTGTGTCTGCAGTCCATTGGTTCAGAATATTTTTTTTCTTGTTTTTCTTCTCTAAAACCTAGGTGCGTCTTATGGAGCGAAAAATACAGTATATCATATTTATCTGTTTTAAACTTTTTTTTATACATTTCTTCAGTTACATCCTGGTTTCCATGTCTAGGCAAATGATGTCATACATCCCAGCAGTCTTCAGGAGGGGAGGGAGGGTTTTCAGCTCAGCCTATGTCCGAGCTAAGGGAAGATGGAGTCGAGGAAGTAAATGATACATAAATCATCTGCCCTTACTCAAGATGGTCCCCTTCCTAGAAATACCAGGGGGTGTTTTTCAAAATGATTTCTCAGCAAAATAAAGCGTGGAGACATGAAGAGATGGGTGAGTTTGCTTTGAATATTAAAAATTAAATATCATTTTTTATTCGTGGTGCTCAGATATAGCGTAGTTCCACTTTAAATACCACCAAAAGAAAGCTGTATCCGTGTGGAAAAGAAAAAACAATTTCATGTGGTTACAGTATCGCATGACCACGCAAATTTCATTCAAAGTGTGACAGCTGAAAAATGGCCTGGGCAAGAAGGGGGTGCAAGTACCCAGTAATTAAGTGGCTAAATCCTTTATGGCTCCAGAGGAATAATATATTTAAATAAAAGGTTTTTGTGTCTGCAGTTCAGTTTTAACTTTTCTGTTTTTAAGAAGAATCGAAAACATATTCCTTTCATCTTAAGCCATGCAGGCATTCTTTGCTTGCAGAGCATTTTAAGCATTTATTGTCCTCAAAAAATCAGCGAGAAGTAGGAGATATGGGAGTAAGTGGGTCAGGTACTGCCGGGTAATGGAGCAGTTTGAAGATTTCTCTACCAAAGCCGATGTAGATGGGAATGTGTGTTGTACCTGCTGAGATCTTCACACTACGCCTATGGGAGTAGGTAGTAAATGCTTCCATCTAAGCCTCAGACACTGAGAACTAAGTGCCTCCATTAGTGGCTCCGCACTCCCCTCAAGCTTCGACTCTACAGCCATGTCTCTCCATGGTCTCTGCCGTCATGTTAAAGCCATCTAGAGACGCGACTTACTACGATTCAATCAACACAACGGCAAAGCTGCTGTTTACACCCTGCCGCTCTGTACGTACATTCATCACTGGACAGTAAATTGCTGGGAGGTTTAAATCTCTTCCATTTTACACAGTGTTCTTGTATTGCCAGTTTTATTTTTGGAGAACTCTAAAACATTAACCCATGATTTGCCTGGATACACTGCCAAGGCCATGGCAAGGGCCATCTGCACCCAAAAAGTGGTATTTCAGGTACAGTTGTGCACCAGTGGACTAAGAAGCTCCAGTTGTCAGCTTATCCATCAGTTGTTTGTGTCTTTGCCCCAACCACAAGGGTCTCTTACAACTAAACCCCCAATTGTTTTTGCTTAACTTACACTATATTGCCAAAAGTATTGGGCTTTCCCTCCAAATCACTGGATTCAGGTGTTCCAATCACCTCCATGGACACAGGTGTATAAAATCAAGCCCCTAGGCATGCAGACTGCTTCTACAAACATTTGGTGAAAGAATGGGTCGCTCTCAGGAGCTCAGTGACTCCAAGTGTGGTCCCGTGATAGGTTGTCACCTGTGTAATAAGTCCATCCGTGACATTTCCTGGCTACTAAATATTCCACAGTCAACTGTTAGTGGGATTATAGCAAAGTTGAAGAAACTGGGAACAACAGTAACTCAGCCACCAAATGGTAGGCCACGTAAAATGACAGAGCGGGGTCAGCGCATGCTGAAGCGCACAGTGCGCAGAAGTCACCAACTGTCTGCAGAGTCAATAGCTAATGACCTCCAAATTTGGTGTGGCCTACAGATTAGCACAACAGTGCGTAGAGAGCTTCACGGAATGGGTTTCCATGGCTGAGCAGCTGCATCCAAGCCTCACATCACCAAGTGCAATGCAAAGCGTTGGATGCAGTGGTGTAAAGTATGCCGCCACTGGACATGGATGAGCGAGCTTGGAGTGGAGGAACTTAACTGGAACTTGCCTGACTGTATTGTGCCAAGTGTAAAGTTTGATGGAGGGAGGATTATGGTGTGGGGTTGTTTTGCAGGGCTTGGCCGCTTAGTTACAGTGAAGGGAACTCTTAAGGCATCAGCATACCAAGACATTTTGGACAATTTCATTCTCCCAACTTTGTGGGAACAGTTTGCGAATGGCACCTTCTTGTTCCAACATGACTGCGCACCAGTGCACAAAGCAAGGTCCATAAAGACATGGATGAGCCAGTTTGGGGTGGAGGAACTTGACTGGCCTGCACAGAGTCCTGACCTCAACTCAATAGAACACCTTTGGGATGAATTAGAGTGGAGACTGTGATCCAGGCCTTCCCGTCTGACATCAGTGCCTGACCTCACAATTGTGCTTCTGGAAGAATGGTCAAACCTTCCCATAGACACCCTCCTAAACCTTGTGGACGGCCTTCCCAGAAGAGTTGAAGCTGTTATAGCTGCAAAGGGCGGGGCCAACTCAATATTGAACCCTACGGACTAAGACTGGGATGCTATTCAAGTTCATGTGCGTGTAAAGGCAGGCCGAACAATATTTTGGCAATATAGTGTATTATATACACACACAATCTCACAGAAGTGGGTACACCCCTCACATTTTTGTAGATATTTTATTCTATCTTTTCATGTGACAACACTGAAGAAATGACACTTTGCTATGATGTGACGTAGTCAGTGTACAGCTGGTATAACATGTAAATTTGCTGTCCCCTCAAAATAACTCAACACACAGCCATTAATGTCTAAACAGCTGGTAACAAAAGTGAGTCCACCCCTAAGTGACAATGTCCAAATTGGGCCCAAAGTGTCAATAGTTTGTGTGTCCACCATTATTTTCCAGCACTGCCTTGCAAAATTTAGCCGGGCTTGGATGTTTTTCTTCGTAGGAAAAGTCTTCCGTCTTGCCACTCTACCCCATAGCCCAGACATATGAAGAATACGGGAGATTGTTGTCACATGTACCACACAGCCACTACTTGCCAGATATTCGTGCAGTTCCTTTAATGTTGCTGTAGGCCTCTTGGCAGCCTCCCAGACCACTTTTCTTCTCGTCTTTTCATCCATTTTGGAGGGACGTCCAGTTCTTGGTAGTGTCACTGTTGTGCCATATTTTCTCCACTTGATGAGAACTGTCTTCACTGTGTTATATGGTACATTTAATGCCTTGGAAATTCTTTTGTCCCCTTCTCCTGACTGATAACTTTTAACAATGAGATCCCTCTGATGCTTTGGAAGCTCTCTGCAGACCATGGCTTTTGCTGTAGGATGTGACTAAGAAAATGTCAGGAAAGACCTACTAGAACAGCTGAACTTTATTTGAGGTTAATCAGAGGCACTTTAAAAGATGGCAGGTGTGTACTGACTCCTATTTAACATGATTTTGAATGTGATTGCTTAATTCTGAACACAGCTACAGCCTCAGTCATAAGAGGGTGTGCACACTTATGCAACCGCATTATTATAGTTTTTTATGTTTACTCCCCCTTACACCCCCCCACCCCGGCGGAAAGATTTCAGAAACCTGACATTTTAACAGGGGTGCGTAGACTTTTTAGTGTGTGTGTTTCTAAAGTTTTTTTTTTTTTAATTTGTATTCTGTTTACTCCCCCCCCCCCCCCACCCCAAAAGATTTTAGTTTATTCTGCAGTTGAGTTGTACAGTTTATAGGTCACATTAAAGGTGGAAAAAGTTCTGCAATGATTTATCTTCGTCTCATTTTTTTACATCACAGAAACCTGACATTTTAATATCCAATATATATATACACATATATATACACACACACAGTTTTCTTCAAAATACTAGCAGTCAGACATCACTAACTGGATCAATCACTGTTTTTGGTAGAAATGATATTTCTACATGGCAAATAATTTACTAGCAGGTGTAGTAGAGTAATAGAAATCCAACAGACCCAACAGTCATGACATGCATGCTGCTGATTCTGTGTAATTGAATCACTAATTGAAAGGGGCATGTTCAAAATAATAGCAGTGTGGAGTTCTATCAGTGAGGTCATTCATTCTTTGAAAAACAGGTGGCAATTATTGCCCTTATTTAAGGAAGGAAGGCAGCAAATGTTCTACATGCTGGTTACAGTGCATTTCTCTCTGAAATTCTGAGGAAAATGGGTCGTTCCAGACATTGTTCAGAAGAACAGCGTACCTTGATTAAAAAGTTGATTGGAGAGGGGAAAACATATAAAGAAGTGCAGAAAATGATAGGCTGCTCAGCTAAAATGATCGCAAATGCTTTAAAATGGCAATCAAAACCTGAAAGACGTGGAAGAAAGCAAAAAACTACCATTCGAATTGGATACTTTAAGAGGTCATGCTGCCTTATGCTGAAGAGGAAATGCCCTTGAAATGGGTGTTCCAACAAGACAACGACCCCAAACACACCAGTAAACGTGCAACATCTTGGTTCCAGACCAACAAGATTGACGTTATGGAGTGGCCAGCCCAATCCCCGGATCCTAATCCAATAGAAAACTTGTGGGGTGACATCAAAAATGCAGTTTCTGAGGCAAAACCAAGAAATAGAGAAGAACTGTGGAATGTAGTCCAATCATCCTGGGCTGGAATACCTGATCACAGGTGCCAGAAGTTGGGTGACTCCATACAACACAGATGTACAGCAGTAATCAGAAACAGTGCGACTACAACCAAATATTCATTAAGTCATTCAAAGGAAAGCAAAATCTTCAAACATTTCTCAGTTTATATAGTGAATGTTTGAGTTTGTAAAGAAGAATACAAACACTGCTATTTT